AAACAGCATTACCATCTTCCACTACCAAGGAATTGCCAGTGGTTGGAGGTTGTGAGTTCTCTACATCCTTCCGGAGATAGTGTAGGCCCTTAACTGTATCTGTCTTAGCAAAGAAGTTGTTCCAATGTTCCAATTGAGTAGAACAGGGATCAAAGAATTCCCGTAGAACAAGTTGGCTGTCTGAACTGTGTGCCTTTACCATCAGCTGGATAGCAATGTCCCCTTGTTGCTTGTACTCTTTTACTTTTCGTTGGGATGTTTTAAGCGTGAATTTCTTTTTTGTTTCTGCCATGGTTTGAGCTTCAGTTTCTTGATGGGGTCAGAGAACGATGTCTTTTTCTCTAATCGCTCTTTGATGAACATCTCTTTCTGGTCTTTCCCTGTGGTAATTGCATGCATGATATCTTTCTCAACCTTAGCTGGAACGCAGGCACCGGAAGAAAAAACATACAATCCATTCTTGCCATCAACATCAACATGATTGAGGAAGCTTTTTACATCATCTATGGCCTTTTTTTTTAATACACATCCCTCACTTTTCCTCATCTGAGTTGGTTGTTGATCTCTGTGTTTATTTCCACGGTGAGCATCAAACGTCATATCTGCATATGTTCGGGCCCACCTCTGATATACACTGTAGTTCTCAACTATGCCAGAGACACCGACACCACTACTACCCCCACCGCTAGATTTGCCATGCTTCAGGATTATCTCCTCAATTTTCTTGTCGACAGCACATCGGTTCCCTGAAATGAGCGACCTGGCAACACTTATTGCACCTCTTTCGAGCAATGTCATGGCACCAGGATGTGAATCTTCAATGTTTACAGATATCGGGAGTAATTGTGACCAGGTCAGGCATAAGGAAGAGCTTTGAAGCTCTCATATGACTCTATCAACGCCATCAGATCTGCATTAGCCACAACCAATTTTCTTGTCGACAGCACATCGGTTCCCTGAAATGAGCGACCTGGCAACACTTATTGCACCTCTTTCGAGCAATGTCATGGCACCAGGATGTGAATCTTCAATGTTTACAGATATCGGGAGTAATTGTGACCAGGTCAGGCATAAGGAAGAGCTTTGAAGCTCTCATATGACTCTATCAACGCCATCAGATCTGCATTAGCCACAACCAATTTTCTTTTCGACAGCACATCGGTTTCCTGAAATGAGCGACCTGGCAACACTTATTGCACCTCTTTCGAGCAATGTCATGGCACCAGGATGTGAATCTTCAATGTTTACAGATATCGGGAGTAATTGTGACCAGGTCAGGCATAAGGAAGAGCTTTGAAGCTCTCATATGACTCTATCAACGCCATCAGATCTGCATTAGCCACAACCAATTTTCTTGTCGACAGCACATCGGTTCCCTGAAATGAGCGACCTGGCAACACTTATTGCACCTCTTTCGAGCAATGTCATGGCACCAGGATGTGAATCTTCAATGTTTACAGATATCGGGAGTAATTGTGACCAGGTCAGGCATAAGGAAGAGCTTTGAAGCTCTCATATGACTCTATCAACGCTTTCAGATCTGCATTAGCCACAACCTCAGCAAGCCTCTCCTTTGTTGGTGATCGAATTAGCTCTTGGAAGATATTCTTTGATTCCTCAGCTATACCAACAAGTGCATCATCTTTTCCAGTCATTGACAGGAACTCATAAAAAAGGAGCCGTTCTAAGCACTCCACCATTGTCTTGTGACAATGCAGACTCCTGTCACAGTTCTTTCTTGCTATGACGTCTTTCATAGACCCAGAAGACATGAGACTAGCTTCCAAGAGGATATCTTTAAGTCCGGATCCTTCCATTTTCTTTCCAAGCATCTTGGAGTATGCACAAATCAAATGGAAAATGCCAATCAACAAAATGTGTTTCTTGTAATTTTATGGATGACTCCAAATGAGAGAAAATGCCTTCATGCACACGCTCAATTCAAATGTTGTTATGACATAGTCTTGGCCAACCTCGTGGATTGCTTCTTCTGCAGCTCTCGGGCACTCTTGGATTGTATCGAATTCTGTTATTGGATATTTTATAACAGGATAGTAATCTATGGTCGTCACATTTGAAGGCACCTCGCATGTTACTGAGACAAATCCAGTCCAACCTGGAAGCTCTTGACCTGTCTCTCCACTACTTTTCCGGACAAGCATCCACGCAATATCATTTCTGGCACATTGTTTGAATGCTTTAAATCGGTTGACATAGCAAGGTGGAAGAGGACCTTCATGTTTAATAGTCAAGGAACGTTCTTTGGTTCATGTACGTGCTTCTGAGGGTACTGTGCTATTTGAAGATTCAACTGTCTCATTGTTAGAAATCTCCTGCAGCATAATCCCATGGGCTGTGTGGACAGAGCCAGAACCACTTAAGATTGAAATGTATTGGTCGAAATCGTCAACGTCTGAATGGAAGACTGATGGCTCCACGGGATGGCGGACTACCTGTCTAGATAGAATACCAAAAGTCTACTGTAGTGCTTGTGCTATGGCAGATTCAAGCTCAAGTGAAAATGAATAGCTTTCTGAAAGAACAAGGCGATTCATGAATGTGATCAATATTATTGAGCACTGCGTAAGAGATGTCTCAGAGTCATCCATATCAGAATATGCTTGGACATTTTCCACTTTCCATTTGTGGCTGCCCTACATATATCTTGACCAAGAGATATGACAAATCTAGTCACTCTTTGTGATGGTCGAGACGGATTTCCACTCAACATTAATGGTTCAGAAACTTCTCTAGCTCAGTGGGAATCTGGTCATCTATATAGACAATGGCTTCTGCGGTTGAGGGCCAGGTATTTCATCACCTACAATTTAATCTACATATCCTGGCAAATGCTTTCTTGTGGGCTACTTCAATTGTTCTCTGTTTAGCTACTTCATTGTACTTGTCACTTCTCCATTAATCTGGTTCTTAGTTCGCCACATATTTCTTCCGACAGTTCTTGTGATATCTTGCTTCTGCAGCAAACAGATCAACTTCCATGATTCTCAAAAGTAGGTCTTCATCACCAACTCTCTTCGCAACATCTACAACATTTTGCCACCCACCAACATCAAACATTGGTGACTTTCTGTTGTCCAAGAGCTTTTCACTTTGATTGATTTTGGGCCTTCCTTTTTACAAAAGATACAATCAGAATTGAAGATGACTTCATCAATTGACGATTTGGGTGGACGGGATGTTGAAGGTTCTGTGGCATCAGATACGATCTCTGACAGTCGATTGAGATTCTTGGTAAAAAGTTGGTAGCACTCCCGATGATAACCATGCACATCTGAAATGTCTTCAAGAATGAGGATGCATGCTTCTTCCATTGCTACTTGTGTCAAGTTAGTTGAAATTCGTGAAATTGTACCCCGTATACGTTTGATCATTCATTTGTATAAACAACAAAACTATATTATAGCATATAATGGGATTAATGACCAACTGCTGAATAAGTTGGCTTTGTCTGATCCCCCCCCCCCCTCTTCGGGCTGATGTTGTATGTGGTAATATACTGTATTTTATTTAGTTTGATGTACTGCTTGTTGAGCTTTTGTTTTTTTAAACAGGAACTTTAATTGAATGTACATTATATATACAGAATGTATTAATCGTAATATGCGGGGGGGGGGGGACAAAATTTGCGGGAAACATCAGATAACATATCAATGAATAATAATACACCAAATTAGGGGGCTAGAAAACTTATTTCACGATAAGAGCAGACAAAAAACAACTTTCAGGTGATTTTGACAGGTTTTGAGACAGAAATTTGCATATAAAATATATGCAAATTGATGATGTCATTAATAATTGAAGACAATAACATAAATTAAAATAATTTTGTCTACCTGTTGTTGTATGATTTACAAAGATTGTTTATTAATTTGATGGAGGTTAGACTTATATCTGCTGGGAAACAGGGTAAAGTGTAAGCACATAATTCACAAACCCTAAGAAAATGTACAATACACGGAAAACTGATATGTTGACATACAAAATAATGGGGAAAAAACAATGTCTACATGAGTTGACTGAATTTTTTTTGCAGGAAATATCAGATAACATATCAATGAATAATTTTACACCAAATTAGGGGGTTTGAAAACTTATTTCATGATAATAGCAGACAAAATACAACTTTCAGGTGATTTTGACAGGTTTTGAGACAGAAATTTGCATGTCAAAATATATGCAAATTTGTGACGTCATTAATAATTGAAGACAATAAAATAAAATAAAATAATTTGTTCTACCTATTGTTGTATAGTTTACAAAGATTATTTATAAATTTGGTGGAGATTAGAATGTTATCTGCTGAGAAACAGGGTAAAATGTAAGCACATAATTCACAAACCCTAAGAAAGTGTGCAAAACACGAAAAACTGACATTTATACATAATCTTCAAATAAGGAGCAAAAAAACAGTGTCTAAATGAGTTTTTTTCTTGGGAACGTCTTTTTTCTGATATTATGGACCCCAATGAACAAAGTGACACCCAAAAAGTAGGATCATAGGGGGGGGGGGGTGCACGGTAGCCCCCTCTGGCCCACGGACTAATGGAGCTGGGCCTGTATCACGAGTATATACTAGTAGTGAGTTGGTTGATGTTCGAAGCCACGTACAAAAGTATAATCGATTACAACAGTTGTGGGGCCGATATCACGAGTATGCCTTCATAAAATAAAGGTTTTAAAGAAAATATTCACTTCTACTTTCAAAAGGACTGGCCCATTTGCTTTAAAAAAATTGTAGAGTTATTATTATGTAATTTCTAGAAAAAATGTCAACCACATCATTTACAATGAGTCTAAATACATTGATTTGCCGAGTTGCTTCCTTTTATCAAATATACACGTAAAACAATGGGGGGACAAAATGTGCGGATAGCAAACCGCACGGATCGTCCCTCGGACGATCCGTGCGAGTCACGGACGATCCGTGCGAGCAGAAAACCCGCATATTATGTCCGACGGACAAACGAAACTGGTAGGACAAACGGCGCGGTCACACCGGCTAACTCGCACCATATGCATGCAGCACATTCATCAGAAAAGTTGACAGTCCTGCAAACTCGCTACTCGAGGGTTATCAATTGTAAATCAGATTTTTAAGTTACTGTCTGTTTACCAACACTCTTTAGCAAGATGCCGCCGAAGAAGAAGAAGCAGCAACATAATGGATTTTCATTGTTCATGCTAGAAAAACAGGAAGAAATGCGTCTGAAAGGACGCAAAGTCTCAATGCAGGACATGGTCCCGATTGCGCATCCAGAGTGGAAAGTGAGTATGAAAGAAAGGTGGTCATGCATGCATCGCGATCGGGCCGGGGTCGGGCTAATTCAGCACTGCAGTCTGTACATGTTGCGCGTCGAGCGCGAGGGTATCTCGCATCTCGTTCTCGCAGCGATCAGTTTTCAAATTCAAGAGCTGAACCATATGTTGATTTATAAACCTTCCTCGAAAGAGTCGAAATAGCCATGGTTTTCAAGTTTCCAGAATATCATCACTTGAAGTTTTTTAACATTAGCCTGCACTAGATTTCTAGTATTAAAGTAAAATTTAGTTGATATTTGCAAATGCCTAAATTTATTTAATAGAAAATGTCTTTGAACTGAGTTTGACTTTGGACAAAATAAAAAAAAATTGTCATTTCTCAAAACTTGAATCGCTAGTCTACATACCAGTGGGATTCTAAAATTGGCTAAAACGGTAATGTCAGTCACTCACTGTGAGGTAGTGCTGGACAAATCACTCATTTGGCGTGATTTGTTCCAACAACAACAAAAAGACAACAAATTTCAAAATATTTAAAAACTAAATTCAAGGAATAAACTTAAGGTCTAGGTGGATATAGACCCTATTATTGAATATTTGTTTGTTTGTACGGCCCTTGCGTCTCTGAGAAAGTACAGGCCGGAGAGTTGACCTGAACATGGTCTTTGTCACAAGTGACTGACAATGCACACACCAAATACACCCTTTCACGGTTACAAGTTCAACGCTCATGCGCTGACATTGCCGCGCATCTGAAAACATTGATGACGCAATGTTTACGTGCAAATTAAAATGGCGGCCTTAAAGATAAACTTTAGTACTGGTAAAAAAAAAAAAATTAATTCTCACAGAATCAAACGAAACTTACACTGAATGTTCAAGATTACAAATAAATGACATGTGCCAAACAATTTTGGAAGAAAATGTATACTGGCTGAGTAATTAGCATATATAAAGACAAGGAAATCAAGGTAGTACTAGCCCCGACACCATGTGTGTTGTCCCATATATAGCTTTCTGTGTTACTTTACCAAGACTCGGTCAAATTTATTATGATTTTGATGACTCCAGAACCTTGCAGTGCACACCAATACTTACATGCTACATGATCAACTGTTTCTGATCCTTTCAACACCATTTCTTTCACAATGCAATCGCATGACCAGTACTAAAGTTTATCTTTAACCATGAAAGGTTGTAATGCCCATTTGACATTTTGAGATTTGAGTACATTCTGCGAAGACTGTGATGATGATCTCACAAATGAACAAAGATTTGATTGCCCTACCAGCCAGGCAATGTCACCAGGGCCAGGTTGGGCCTCTGCTAACGTTGAGCCTCAGTGTAGTCCCCTTTATGATAAATTTGTAGGATTTTACACTGTACTGTCCTCCCATGCCTAGATTTAATGACCAAAATACACTCTCCCTTGATATTGTTTTTAGAGGTAACCCGATGATGTCCTGAAAAAGTAGACGGCTAGAGAGAAAAACCTAATGACGATGTCGAGCCTTAGGCCAAGTTGGGGTAGGCCCACCCATCTTTAGAAGCTAAATTATAACATTTGTAGGATTATACTGATTTAGTGCTGGTATGCCTAGATAATGTAATGATAATCATAACATAAAAAATAATAAAAACATGCAATGTAATATTCCTTGATTTTGTTGTTTTTCAGAGCTTACCTGCTGAAGTCCAGAAAGGGTATACAGCTAGAGCAAAAGAGAAGAAATTTGGCCAAGGAACCTCAGGTTATGAAGGGAAGTTAGATTGTACAGGACAGCTCGTTACAGTAAGTTTCCATTCCTTCTTTTTTCAGATCGTGTTTGGTCTGCTTAGATCAGAGTCATCATTCATCAGATCAAAATAATCATTTAATTTCCTCTGTAAAACAACACATACAAAGATCAGTGACAAATTATTATGGTAAATAAAAGAGGTGGGACCAAGCTGCAGGATCATAAAAAGCACAAGAGGTCAAAGAAATTACCCCTGAATACTGAGATGCCAACCAGTACGATTAAATCGTTTTTAGTACGATAATAAGAGTGAAATACGATATTATATGATATCACCTATTAAAATACGATTTTTCCAACAAAAAAACAAAAACAAAACAACATTTAAAAAAAAATTAAAACCCCATAAAAACTGCAGAATCGCATAGAAACATGTACAAGTAAAACCCCCCCCCCCCAACCCCGACAAAAACTTTGCTTACAATTTCTCATTAAATTTCAATGAAAGAGCAAACATTTTACTTGACCGTACTTACCAGTAAAACATTTTTCTGAAGTTTTACTGGCCTGGGGCCGATGAGCCAGTGGTAGTGTCGAGTTTTCGTGAAAATCTGATTTTTTTTAGGACACTCAGTCTGTTTTTTTGTGTCAAGAGGCTGGTATCTCTGTGAATATACTTGCATATAACATTATAATGAAAAGTATCGTAGATCATCAGGGAATAATTTTCCTCAAATTTTTTGATTAGCAATTTCAGCCGATGGATAAATATTTCAAATGAAATTCTGTACATTTCTATGGAAGAAAACTGCTACACAAAAGATATTTTGTATAGCAGTCATGCAAAAATGCATAGCAAATTGCGATGCGATACCAGGAAAATTATTCCCTGATCATTGACACACAAAGAAGAGAGGGAGGAAACTTTGATCACAATTCAGTTTTCAATGGGAAATCAACCCTAAGAACTATATTAACATTATTATTGACGCTACCACCTACAACTTTGATCTGGAGCCTACGGGAATGAAAACTAAGCCTCTGACAGACGAAGCCTCGAGGACCTTCAGACAAATTTTTGGAGGGTTCCCTAGACAGTCAGCCCCCACCAGACCAACAAGGGCCCTTTGGCAAATTCACTGGACCAGTCCAAATTAAATAGTGTTATTTTCATGCAAGCAAGCTTGAAAAGTAGCCCCCAAATTGTTAAAATAACCTTTTCCCTGTTTTGGGCTGTCAATGCACTGAGATAGACTCGTTTATGGAAATGCACCTGAATTGATACACTGATCATTCAAATATGCAGGTGTACCTACAGCATTCCATACATGCACTGTAAGTATGAATTGCGCAATAACCATCTTGTGTTTACATGTCATGGCTTGGAGATTGTGAAATTTTCTTCATAGAATGGTTCCTCATTTCCGGATTTGGTAACAATTTAACAATCCATATTGCGCAATGACATGGTATGCAATTTACATTAAACAAAATGTAGAACAATGAGTTCTGCAAAGCTCTAGAGGAGTTATGATACCCCTATGAATTACAGGGAAACTTCAGTGTGGCGTGTGATATGCCGTGACCGGCAACCCAGATGCCAAAGACCCAATAAAAGAGACCATGCAGTACTGTGTACTGGTTACACTGAAGCAAGCAAGCGGGGTTCAATCTGCAATTTAATACAGAACAAACAATAATAAGCCATCTTGCATAAACTGACTGAACCATTTACATTTATATGTCATACATGTAGTCTAAGATATATTTGTTTCTCTTGTATTTGTTAGAATCGTTTTTCAGTGGTTGAATACTTGGAGAAGAGAAGACGAACAGAGTCTGCTGCCCTCAAAGATTCCTGGTCTACGGGTCAAGGTAATTAAAAACACAAGGTTAATCCTAGTTCTTCTGATTGATGGCAGTACATCCCTAGGTGTGCAGCTCATGGTATTTCAATGCATTGTTTAACAATGTTACATGCAAATCTGAGATGCACGGCCCTATGTGTTATCTGTGTCTGTGATATGGTGTAATATTGAAGCCCTAAAAAAATTGCGCTTCAAAATGATCATGAAGTGGCTCAAAATGATCAAGAAGTGTCCCCAAAATGTAAAAATCTTTGAGTGACCATTTTTACCATTCATTTTCCCCAATAGACTGTAGTGTTATGATACTGTTAGGAAAACGCAAACTTTGAATTCGATTTTCAATCACAAATATCTTGATAATCAGACAGGCGATTGGCTTGTGAAAGTCATGGGGTTCCTGACTGACCTAAAGGTTTGATTGCAGCATGAGCTAAATCAAGGATTTTGTTTAAGAATCTGAGACGATAATATTTTTAGGGTTAGCAGATTGGTAAAAACTGATTATTATTTCACTAGAAACATACCTCAGATCTAAGCTGCTCAAAGAAGAGCCGTAAAAGGACTGTCAAAACTGTTTTCCTGGACAAGTGTTTTTTTGTGTGCAGTAATACAAGTTGTAGTAGTGTAAAACGCTTTAATAGAGATGATATTTCATATTAAAGAGAAGGTTGAGTTCTGGGAAGAGGTGACAAATAATTTGTGAGCATTTCATTATTATTATGCAAGTGTGGAAGAACATCAGATTAAAAATGTGCCCTAAAAAGCATGGCTTTTCAAATGCCATAATATTCTAAATATGGCATGTAACAGCATAAAAATCAGGACAGATTTTTATTCCACATGTTCGTGTAGTCCCACATACATCTTTCTGGATGTGTACAGTGCTTGTAACTTTACCAAGACTGGGCTAAATTTCTTATCATTTTGATGATTCCAGAACCTTGCAGTACACACCAATACGCTAGATGATCAACCTTTTCTGATCGATTCCACACTGTTTCTTCCACAATGCAATCATATGACCGGGGGGGGGGGGGGGGGGGGGGGTTCACAAAGATCCTAAGTTGAACTTAAGCTCTAATTTGGGCTTAAAAATTATGAAGAGCCATTTGTAGCCTTGAAAAAAGATATATTAAAAAGCGGAAAATCAAGTATTTTAGACTTTTTTTATAAATTCCACATCAAGAACATGAAATCTCCTTGATAATAGATACATGTAAGTTCAAGATCTTTGTGAAACACCCCCCTTGACTCAAATTTATCTTTAAGCGCTACATAAATTCAGATGTATTACTACAACCATTGTAGTACATTTGTCTTTTTTATGTCTCTTCTTCTTCCCCCCATGCAGACATCACCCATCATAGATTCTACATGATAGCCGTCAAGACGTTATGTCAGCTTCCTGATGACACGTACCTACCATGTGAGTTAGCTTGTGTGGAGTACACCATGAGTGCAGGTATCACCAAACGGTTCCACTGCTTCCCGGCTCCAGGCAAGCTGCCCCTAGGATGTAGATACTTGTGTAAAAGGCAAGGTAAGATATCAACTTTGTCATCAGGTCGACTCTTTATTATATTGTCCACCAAATATGAATAGAAGAGATGGAGGAGGAAGAGGGGAAAGGGGAGGGGAGGGGAAGAGATGGAGGAGGAGGGGGGGGGAGGGGGAGGGGGAGGGGGAGGAGGGGGAGGAGGAGGAGGAGGAGGAGGAGGAGGAGGAGGAGGAGGAGGAGGAAACCAACAATTCAAAGAAGCATGAAGGAAGAGGAGTAGAGCCTTGTCTTATGTTCTTGTGTACCGCATAAACATTAGGTCCCCAAACTCCCCATGCACTGTCAAAGATCTTCAGGAAATATCACCCCAGATGTAGCTATGGTGACTGTTGGGTACATGCAAAGCATTTAAAAGAATTCCCCCCCCCCCCCCCACATTTGTAGTTCTAAGGGGTTCGAGGCAACCTTGTCAAAGGACTTAATTGATGGGACTGGGATTCAAACCCATACCTTATGGTTAACAGCTCAGAGTCTTATCCACTTGACCATATATCAACCTTGTTGTATTTCCTACAGGTGAAGATGTGCACAAGATACCTGCAGAATGGTTTGATCAGTACAATCATAACTATAAAGAGATCTGGACTGACCTGATCGCGTTCATAAACCCTCAGAGACAGCACGTCATGCCAGCATTATTCTGTGAGGTGAGTATATATATATATATATATATAGAGAGAGAGAGAGAGAGAGAGAGAGGGGGGGGGGGGGGACTTCCCCCTTTCAGAAATGTACAGATATCAAGTCATTCCACTTCTCCTTTTTGAGGTGAAAGTATTTCTGTATGGTTCTGGAAATATTCATGTACATGTAAACAGAGATAGCTAGAGAGAGAGAGAGAGAGAGAGAGAAAGAACAAAACAAAATTTAAAAAATATATTGAGGTAAAGAAAGAACCAGAAGGGACTTGTGTAAATAGGAAGTCGATTATTTCTTGTTGTGGGTGGGTGCCCGTTCATATATACAGTAACAACTCGATTTTTCATACCCCATGTAAATTTGATATTTTTGTTTGTTCTGCTTTCTGTTACTCAAGAATAGAAGGTGAACTGGTAGAATTAGGGCCTTTGTTCATGTTTATCGGTAGTCCTTTGTATAGATGTAAGCTTTAACACATCACATTCTCAAGGAACATAAACCAGGACGAATACATTTTTCACAAACTTAATAAATTACTAAACTTGGCAAGAGTATGAACAATTTAGTAGCAAACTGTGTAAAGTGCTCCTAAAATCTTAAAAACTTGGTAAGGGTATGTTTTCCATTGAGCAGTAGTTTTGTTTTCCTTGATCTCTCCATGTAGCTGCGATGCAGGGAGGAGGTTGAATACACCCTGGAGTGGCTGGCCAGGAATGCCGGTAAGTGTGTCTAGTTAAATGTTAGGTTTCCTGGGAAATTTTGTATTTGTTGTGAAGAAGTTTTTGACCTGCACCCAGTAGATAAAGATCACAAGTCAAAATTACAAATTAAAATTTAAATACAAAAATACCAGGAAAAAAAAGAAAACATAAAAGGAAAGGAGTAACCTGAAATGGTTCTCATGAGATAAAATAATAGCTTTTACTTGTTTAGTTAACCCTTACTGTACTGGGCTATTTTGAGCACCTCACTGACTGGGGGGGGGGGGGGGGGGGGGGGGGGGGCTGCCAACTAGTACGGATTTCCTGTAATTGGTACGGAAATTAACAATCATTACAGATTTTTTGTTGTTGGCGTAAATATGATTTATCGTAGCGAGTGCAGTGCAGTATGGCGGTATTCTCTTATTTAGAAGCCAATTTTTCATAGAAAACTGATGTGTTGTCATGACCTGATAATCAATATTTAGCAACTTTGTGTGAGTAAAATCACCAACATTTTTTATTGGTCATTCTCCTTGTTTTCTTGTCTTTAGGTATGTCACACAGCCTGAGGAAGGTGTATGAGACAGAGCTCTTGATCCTGGAACTCTTCAGGAATGCAGGAGAGATTGTTCCGTCTAGGGGCCAGGTCTCATCTCTACTGGCTTCATCTGCTTGGGATTACATCTGGGATACAAGGTAAGGAGGAGGATGGTGGTGGTGGTGGTGGTGGTGGTGGTGGTGGTGGTGGTGGTGGTGGTGGTGGTGGTGGTGGTGGTGAGGGTGATGGTGGTGGTGGTGGTGGTGATGATGATGATGATGATGTTGATGATGATGATGAAGATGATGTTTGTGGGGATGATGGTCATTTAATCAGCAATTCGATGTATGTTGTAATCTTGTTGCTACTTGTGTTAGTGATGCTAAGTGCTTAATGGAGATGATGTATGTTGGTGATGGACTTTAATATGACTTCTTCGTACATGTTTACTATTTTACCATCAGGTGTGCATATCATGAAGAAACTGAAGTAACTCTTGAAAACTGTGCCTTAGGGACTTGCAATAAATACTGGTGAGTAACATCAATATTGTTTCTCCTTCATTCTTATTTCCCTACAGGTTTGTTAATGGTATCAATTTCAGTAGAGCTGTGCAACTTCTCAACAATATTTTATGAAATTTTCCTTGAAGTTGTATTGCCAGTTTGATTAGCTTGAAATCTGACTGTCAGTCTGTAGGTTTCATCATGAATATGATACATGGTGCATGCCTGCTCTAGCTATCAGATGTGCATACCATGACGAAACTGAAGTAACTCTTGAAAACTGTGCCGTAGGGACTTGCAATAAATACAAACCTGCTTTAGTGACCACCTGTCTACAAAGACCACATTTTTGTTTCCCTTGAAAATGGTTTCTCATTGAATACATGTACTAAAGGAACCTGTCTACAAAGACCACTTTTGTGTGTTTCCCTTGGGCTGTCGCTATAGACAGGTTTGACTGTAGTAAGATACTAGATATTTAAAAGGTGATTTTGATAACCAGATGTGGCTTTTTTGTTAAAGCTCAAGTTTATTGTCTCTTGGCTTCATAACTAAATGATAATAATAATATGCCCATTAACATAGCTCAGCTACTCTACAAATATATTGTACTGTGCTTCATATAAAGTATCATTACCCAACCTTTAGCTGAGCTGCCTGCCATGATAAGATGCTCACGTGTTCAAAGAATTTATTCCTACCGGGTGCCGGTACCCATTAACTTCACCTGGGTGGAGAGTGGCAAATGTAGATTAATATCTTGCCTAAAGGACATTATTGCTGTGGCCAGACTTGAACTGCAGACCATGTGATACACAGTCAGTAATAAGTCTTTAGTTCATGAATTGAAATCTGTTTGTCTATGTAGCTACTGCCTGAGTGAGGCTGTATGTGCAAGGTAAAATGTAGATGAATTTCTGTCGTAATGACATCAGTGGAGTGACACGGACTCGAGCCACAGTCTGATGATATTCTTTAAAGCCCATCTGCACTAGTTTAGCCAAAGGGATTAGACCTTCCTGCAAGGTCACTGGCAGGTGGTTATCTCATCAAATCAGCTCTCAATTAACATAAGAAAAAGGGGATCATGGGGGACCAACAGGCACAGATTAGGCATTGTTTGCTATATAGAGGGCGCAAGTAGCTATAAGTAGGGTAGTGGGGCTTTAAATCATGAATTGGAATCTGTTTGTCTATGTAGCTACTGCCTGAGTGATGCCGTCTGCGCACGGTACAACGTAGAGCTGACACCCAACCATATACCTGAAGCAGAGACTCCCGACGCAATCGTCTATCCCGCCCAGCAGAGAGAGATCAGACCACAGGGTCAACGTACACCACCTAGGGGTAACTCCAGGGGGCAGAGCTATACACCACCCAGGATGAAAGATAATGATGAGGATGAGAGACGAGATGTCAACACTGCTAGAGAGGTAGGTATTCAAATTGTTTATTATTAATATACAGGCAAAGTTATCTATAAAGGTCACCCAAGAAAAACACAAAAAGTGTCTACAAATGACTTCAAAATTCTGCAGCCCGCCTATTAACATTCACTAAGAAATCTGATTCAATATCACCAATTCTCCGTTCTCTCCATTGGTTGCCAGTTGACAAAAGGATTATTTTTAAAATTATGTTACTGGTTCATCATTCAGTTTATTCTCTTTCTTCCCCTACATACCTGAGCAACTCTGTTTCAAAATACAACCCCACACGAAGTCTTCGCTCCTCATCAGACACACTATTAGTTAATACACCCAGAATAAAACTTGCTTGGGGGGATCGGGCTTTCTCTGCAATGGGTCCAAAACTCTGGAATAAGCTCCCTCTACAAATACGCCAACTGTCGTCAACAGAAACATTCAAATTACAACTGAAAACTTATTTGTTTCTTTCGTTGTAAATATTTTAATTTACCATGTCTAGGAGAATTTTGAATTTTGTTTTTCGGTTTATTGTTGTTTTTCTTTCTTATGTCTGTTACATGTCCTTTTCTCTAAGCGCCATGAGCACCGAAAGGTGGACCTGTGCGCTATACAAGTAGCCACTATTATTATAGTATTAATGACTGCTTTGAGAGAAATAGTTGTTTTTATACGCTCAAGGGAAGGTTAGAATTGTGCTATTGCCCCGAGGCGTGCCGAGGGCAATAGCCCAATTGTAACCTTCCCGAGACAAATAAAAACAACTATTTCTCGAATATTAAAGCAGTCATTAATACTTTTATATGCCGAAAAACAAAAGAGTCAACTAATGACACCACCTTGGCCTTTCTCTAGTTTATCTGCACGGTTGTCTTTTATGAGTGTATCTTTGAGAGTAGACTAGATCTAGATTCTAGTCTAAGCAAGATATTTTTACAATTTTGGGGGTGGGCCGGCCCTGTGGGGAGTAGAGAGAAGAACCTGCGCTTTCATATGACACCTCACTTATTGAGTATCACCTTCAGGATCACAACAGATAAGGTTTGAATCTCGATTTGAAAAAAAAAACTTGACTTTTTTTGCATGATCGAGCAATGCACGTAGACTGCATAGAGACTGCATTGCGTGTAATCTCTATGGGAAGAATGTAGCACACAACATCGGGTGCGCGATCAGACACCCTGACAACTAACTCCAGGAGCTTCCCGGAGTTACCTGACAACTAGATCTATTTTCGTCTACGTCTATGCTGGTACTCCATTTTCAAACGAACATGTTTATGGATAATTTCACGTACCCTTTTTGTTGTTCTTGCTGTCAGCGAGTCTTGCATTTGATAAGTTGAAATCTTGGGACAGTTTCTTTAGCCTTTTGTCTTGCTTGGAATTGTCTTGTCTTGTATGAAAATACTGACCAATTCTTCGCACATGTACGGTATCCTCGATCGCTCAGACCATTTTTTAACATGTAAACCTATGGGGTAACCATGGAGACTGACCTATTTTCCCAATAACCATGGTTATTGGGATTTTGAACTGTTTTAACCATGGTTACTGGGAATTTTCGGGAACAGTTAAAGTTTATGAATGCAATTTCGACCAATCAGATGGCTGGATTTCTTATGTGAGGTATATAATATTTATTATTATTATTACTGGAGACAGGTGGCCTTTCTAGACCTGACTTATACAGTCCAACCTGTCTTAGCCGCTACCTTTCAATATTGGCCACCTGTCTACAGCAGCCTCTTTTCGTGTTTCCCTTGGGTGGCCTTAAAGGGATTGTTTAACAATGTTAAATCTGAGATACACAGTCCTACATGTTACCAGTGTCTGTGATATGGTGTAATATTGAAGCCCTAAAAAAAATTGCACTTCAAGATGATCAAGAAGTGCCTCAAAAAAGTAAAAATCTTTGAGTGACCAGTTTTACCACACTCGTTTTCCCCAATAGACTGTAGTGTTATGAAAACCGTTCAGCGAACGGTTTTCAAAATTTGTAATTCCAATCATTAATATCTTGATAATCAGACAGGCGTTCCTGACTGACCTAAAGGTTTATAATTATCATTGCAGCATGAGCTAAATCAAGGATTATTTCTAAAGGATCTAAGACAAAGTTACCGGATCCCTTTAATAGACATGTTCGCCTAAATTTCCTCCTAGAGGTAGGCACTATAGTTGACCACTATAGACAGGTGGCCTTTATGGACAGTTGGGGGCTAACACATATTTTACTGCATAAATAAATATGTATTGGTTTTTAAAGACTGACCCGGTATCTGCTGAAAGGGTCAGTTTACAAAGTAGAAATAAGATATGCTGTTTACAAATTTACTTTTAGTTTTAGATAAGCATTACAATTCTATGATGTGTGGGACACTATGTTGATGATGGTATCAAGACTGATTCTTGTATAGAACTTAGACTGGTCACCACATGACACCTGCTCTTTTGCCCATATTCTCAAAAGTCATCTAATTTTAGCTAGGTTCAATCCCCTCTACATGTATGTTGCTCTTTCTCTCACTTTTTCATTTTGAATTTGCTGTATTGATTTTATAGGCTCAGCGTTATGGCGTCATATGAAGACAAACCGTTGCGTCAGCCATCAACTATAGGTATGTTTATTTAGTACGAAAACAGAATTTCTCATTCAGTTAGTAGTTTTACTTACTACACTTTTGTATATTTACCTGTCATAGTTTTGATTCTTGCTTTATTTATGATTTGATACACTTTCTAAGAATCAACTCTGAGGCATTTGTAATATTCTGGCTCATCACCCAATGAAGTGTATCGACCAAACATAATACTATTGGCTATTCCACAAGATATCAAATCAACTTTGATTTCACGAAACCCTTTCAGATCATTCATAGCCTTCACAAAATTGTCTTATCTTTCATTTTGAATAAAGATAGATGTTGCCAGTTAGTGATATAGAATTGAAGGAAGAGTAGGAATATTGTATGTTAAAGTTTTGGAAACACCCCCCCTCTCAAAAAATGAAATGGAACCTCTTATTACCAATCATGTGAAAGTATATGTTTTGAGTATGTGATGATACAAATTTTGCTGGGAAACCGCCTACTCATTGAAATATTTGGTAAATTATTATATCTATCCGGATTGGATAGATATTGCGTAGTCCCATATACATCTTTCTGTGTACAGTTCTTGTAACTTTACCAAGACTGGGGCAAATTTCTTATCAATTCCACAACGTTTCTTTCACAATGCAATCGCATGACCAGAACTGGTCTATTCCTTTAAAGCAAGTATTTGTTCTCACTGCTAATGTTGCTGAAGATGAAACTGATTAATTCGCTATTACTGTTGTATGTTTGTTGGTAAACTTCTAGTCACTGTGTTATTTTTATATTCGCCTTCTTTTATTCCAGGTATAGCTCACGTAGTGTCACAACCCAAGCCTAACATTCCTGAGCCTATGAATAACGATGACATGGAAGGTGCTGCAGGTAAGGATCAATATCATGTAAAGGCGTGAATAGATTCATGGCAAGTGGATGTACATCTTCATCATCATCATTGTTTTCATCACCATCACCATCATCATCACTATCATCACCATTACCATCACTATCATCATCATTACCATCACTATCATCATCATTACCATCACTATCATCATCATTACCATCACTATCATCATCATTACCATCATCGTCATCATTACCATCACTATCATCATCATTACCATCACTTTCATCATCATTACCATCACTATCATCATCATTACCATCACCATCACCATCATCATCATCACTATCATCATCATCATCATCACTATCATCATCATTACCATCACTATCATCATCATTACCATCACTTTCATCATCATTACCATCACTATCATCACCATTACCATCACCATCACCATCACCATCATCACTATCATCATCATTACCATCACTATCATCATCATTACCATCACTATCATCATCATTACCATCACTTTCATCATCATTACCATCACTATCATCACAATCATTATCACTGTAACCATTTCCATCATCATCTTCATCATTGATGTTCTTTTTTTCCTTGCTGTATGGTTGGACGTTTCATTTCCTTAATGGCCCGTCTCTGATATTTAGTCCAAGCTATGAATGTTATCATTATATTTGTCTTACCTAGCCAAAAGTGATATTTATGATACTTTCTGAAATTGAAAACAGAGATTATTTGTGGCGAAACACTTTGTTCAGAATGCAGATATTCAGTTATGTGATTGATTTCCTTCTTGGCGTGAAACTTCTATAAAGTTCATGAGATTGGTTTTACAGTAGTGTCAAGCCCTTCATTAAGGAGACTGGGGACAAATTTTAAGCAGGAATTTGCCACACCCAACCCAGGTGATGTAAATGGGTACCTGGCAGGAATTAATTCTTGGAAATGCTAGAGCGCTGGAATGGCAGCACAGCTAAAGCCGGGGTAATAATCTCCAAGTTTGGAAGCGCTTAGTGATTGTAATAAGCGCTATATAAAAACTTTTGGGTATTATTATTATTAATTGATATGGATTCTTCTTTAACAGGTGCTTCCGGTCGTTATGCAGGTCCTCCTGAGCCCCCGCCACCCAGACACGTTCCTCTTCCCACCCCCGCATGGCAGAGTGTTACCACTATACCTCAACAAAAACCAGGTAAGATCTACAATGTGCCTTACTTTATTTTTCATTGTACATGGCAATGACCCTATGTGTTAGTCCCTCTTTACCTCGCATCCTCCCTCTCATTTTATCTCTATCCCTCCCACGCTATCCCCTTCTCTCTACTGTTTTCTATTCACTCTGCAGTTGTAAACTTGATGATCTCACATTTGCTGTAGCTTTATGTCATCACAGATATATTATATTCAGGCATGGGCTGTGTATCATGCTCTGATATGGTATTGAGATTGGTGTTAGATTTGTGCTCGGACTCCTGTTAAACTGTAAAGCTCCACTGTACTACTTGTAGCTACTTGCTCCCTCTATAGCAAACAATGCCTAATCAGTGACCATTGGTCCCCTATGATCCTCTTTTTCTTATGTTAACTGAGAGCTGATTTGATGAGATAACCACCTGTCCAGTGACCTTGCAGGGTGGTCTAATCCCTCCTGTAAACTAGTACAGATGGGCTTTAAAAGACCATGGAGCAATTGTTACTGGAGTATGTGACAAACAATCCCTAAATAATTTCCATCTTTTTTCATCACATCTCCAGGTGCAATGAACCATCAATCCTCCCTGGACCAGCTGACCAATCAGATGGGTGCATTAGGAGCAGCAGGACGGGGGATTCCCCCACTAGCACTAGGGCGTGGTCTAGGGCGTGGCCTGGGGCGTGGTCTCGGGAGGGGATTAGGAAGGGGTGTAGCCCCACCCCCTGGATTCTAGAGTGCATCTAGTATTCTAGTGATGTACTTTGACATTGACTGCTTTACCTCCTTCTCTAGGGCTGGTGGAGGGCTCCAGGAGATTGCCTCAGTAGAGGTTTTAAAAGATTACTGCCGCTGCAATAGTACAGATATTTGGTTAATCAAGGAATTGAAAAGGCTTACTCGACCTTAGAAGAGGCGTAGAAAGTGACTGCTACGGTATTGGACGAGGGATACAGGGTACAGGTTGATCCATTGAATAAAGGCTACCACCGCTTGTATTCTCAAAGATGAGCTTTGAGGTTGGATATGCCAACATCTCCTCTTAAGGTGGAATAGAGATTCTTAAGATAAACATTTTCATTTTGTCAAATATCATATCATTTGTGCTTTCTGTTCATAAAACTCACAAGAATAAGTAAGAGGCATTTTTTTCGAAAAGTTCTCTTGTTGGATTCAAACCATTTGATATACATGGATGTACAGCTGTGATCACGAGAGAGGTAAAGATACATAACAATTATTATACAGTACCACCTATGCTTTTTGCATGTTGATTTGTAAACCATTGTTTTATACCCATGTATTTGTTTAAACATTATAAAATACAAGGTAGGCATAAGTATGTATATGCAGAGTTCCTTTAGATTGAAGATTGAAGGAAAAAAAAGGTCTTCCACTTACTAAGAGATTACCAAGCTGGGCAAGAGGATTGATTTTTTTTTTTTTTTTTTTTTTGCATGTGAAAACTACTGCTTTAAAAAAAATAGGAATGCATCTTTGTTACCCAGTCTCTCAAACCAGAGAACAGGGTAGGCATTCACTGGGTGGGGTCTTTAAAGGTATAGAGCGGTAGTGATAAAATTGCAGTTCAAGGGTTTTCGATATGATAATTTACCAAATATATCAAATAGAAGGTGGTTTCCCGGCAAAATTTGTATCGTGTATAAGTCAAAAATATCCATTCAATATTTTTTTAATATTACCTTCAGAGGTTTAGATGGCAATACTGCAACCTAAATTTGCAAAAAAGCAGAAAAGATATGCCCAAATTTTCAATGTTGAAGTGCATTCCCGATATCTATCCAGGCCGGATCGATATGATAATTTACCAAATTTATCAATTAGAAGGTGGTTTCCCTGCAAAATTTGTATCATCACGTATTGGTCGAAACATATTCTTTCACATGATTGGTAATAAGAGCTTCCATTTCACTTTTTGAGAGGGGGGCGTTTCCAAAACTGGTCTATACCTTTAAGGTTTTTAAACCATATATTGTTTTATACCCATAATAGTATCGTAGAAATCTAAGAGAATCTTCTTGCCATGTTTATGATTTCATGTGTGCTCATATTATAGTCTCATGAAAATACCTTACATCATGTAACAAGTTTTTATAGTGAGAAATTGTGATTTTCTTGTATAAAAAGCAGATTAAAAAAAAAATGACAATCATGATGTAACAGATGTCATGTTTTTTTACAGATTTCTTTTGTAAAAGAAGAAGGCTGGGTTTGAATTTGGGGGGCTTCAATCACGGTTACAGTTAATTTTTTTCTGAAACGATTACTGATCTGTTTTGCTTATTTTTCAACTTGTTTTAAAAGAATCAAATCTCAAATGACGGAAGATAGATTATGCCAAAGAAGGAGAAGAGAAGAGGGGATGAAAAGAACTGAATTCATCAGGGTAAAAAGAGAGAAGATATTCAAGAAGAGGATGTAAAATAAAGATAACATGTTTTTGTTTAGCATTAGTTTGTATTCAGTATTATGTAAATAAACACTTTTATACCAACCTTTTGTTAATTTGTTGTCATTTTCTTTCTTTTATGCATGTTGACACTTTCCTTTATTTGTATTGATAATTAGACTAATAACCACAAGGTAGATAATTTGATTTAAATCACCTGCATTGTACATAAGTAGTCATTATAACACTAGTAGTATTTATGGTGATGATAGTGATGATAACGGTGATGATGATATTGATAATACTTGATACTTGATGAGGTAATCCCTGAAGCAGCTTTTCCAAGCTATACTGGGATGGGATGTGTTGTGACAGCAGGTGAAGGTGCAGACAACAAAAGGGTGTACAATTGCTTTATACAATAAAATAGTGACGTGCAAGTAAAAATATTCATGCTGCTATATGGTTTTCAGCATTCTGGAACCTACAGGAGGTTCCAACCCTCTGATGACAGGGAGGGCGGTCATCTGGAAGGCAGCAACTGTTGGGGCAGTAACTGCAGTGAATGGTAGTTGATTCCAGATGCGAATGGTGCGGGGGTAAAATGAGTACTTGTAGGAGTCGATTGTTGCCTCAGGAACAGAGAGCTTGAGTGTGTGGTCTCTTCTGCTGATGTATGTAGCTTTGGTTATGAGGTGAGGAAGACAAATGTTGACTAGCTGGTGGTGTATTTTAAAGAGCATGGTGCTTTGTGCTAGAAGACGTGATGATGATAATGGTGGTGGAGATGATGGAGATGATACTGCTTCTACTGATGAGGATAATGATGGTGATGGTGATGGTGATGATGAAGTGATGAGTGTGGTGGTGGTGACAAGGATAATTTTGGACTGGAGGAGTATACAGTAACGACGACAACGAAGACGACAAGAAGTTTGCCTCGGAAGTTACCCTCATAATTACACAATGACAAAAGTAAATGAAAGTTTCTGCCGTTGGTGGGGCTATCATTTTTAAAGCAATTACAGAAACTTCGCTCGCATTTTTCATTTTAATGTTGGTCTATGATACAACTTTTGTCACACGCGAAATGAGGATAGTCCCACGAGAAGTAATTATCTTCCACGAAGATTCCAGGTACTTTGGGGGGGGGGGGGGAGGATACCAACAAACATTTTTAAATAACAGACAACCCAATCGATCAAACTATGTTGAGGGAAAATCATGTAAAGACATATTAAGCAGTTGTACTTATGGTGGTTGAAACAGCTGTCTCGTTGAACCATATATATTCACAAGCTTTCTAGATCGCGAAGAAGGATTATAAATTATAAAGTTTGAAAATACCCTCTTTTCTCTTTCGCACGCGCAGGCGTGTTCCAACGGGACTTATCACACCGTTTATTAC